AGGTGAATGGTTTAAATGTGCTTTTAAGAAGTAATTGCATAATTGGCCGAAGATCATATGATAAGCATGATTTGAGTTGGAGGAGGAAATTCCTCCAATGAAACGGAATATGTCTAAGTTGCATGCATATTGAGTTCGTAGAAGTAGTCCTATTCTCTCATGTTGTATGATGTGTGTTTTAAATGGAGATTTTTTTTTTCTCCTAAGTTGTGCATTGTGTGTAATATGACATACTTGACTTGATGATGTGAATTAAATGAACATGCTTGAATGTGTTCTTGTGAAATGGAATGTAGCTCCTTATGTGGTGGAAACTTTCCTAAAGAGTAGAGGAGGTAGTTCCTCCCATGTTTATGTGAATTAATGAGGTTTGCGCATTTCCATAAAAACTTGTGTTTTTGAAGAAAGATGAGTTGTATGAGTTGTTTCCCTCATGTTGTAGTGCATTGGTTATAAGTGATCTATTGTACTTCATGAAAATAAGGTATGAGCATGTCTTAGTAAGGAGTTGAGAAGTTCCTCCTTGAAAGAGTGCTATTGAACATGGAAACTTGCATATGTGCTTAATGATGTATGGACTATGTAATGACTAGGAGAAGATAGTTCCTCCTATGAACATGAGAAATGTTGATGTTGGTGTGTTATGACTAGGAGAAGGTAGTTTCTCCTTGAACATCACTAAACATGATAATGTCATTGCATACATTCATGTTTAAGTTGACAATTGGTTCATTGTGGTTTTACAATTATGTTGAGGTTTTTGAAATAAGGTGTAAATGCATTGTTGCATCCTTATGTGGGCTGAAATTGCCATGTTTGTGTCTCTCATGTATGTTTCTTTAACATTCGGGGACGAATGTTCCCAAGGGGAAGATATTGAAACGACCCCAAAAATGCCCGAAAATGTGCTTCGGAAACACCTATAATTGTAATTTCCATATATCTCAAAATCCGTGCATCATTTCGGAAATTCGACTTCATATTCTTATTCAGGGGGTCAAATTGAGTGGGAAATGAGTCTAACCCGAATTTTAGAACAACCGTATCAAAATTCGAAAATCGCAAAAAATGCGATTTTGAGGGTCAACTTTAAAGGGGCATATCTCTCAGCACACAAGGAACTGGAAGGAGCTCAAACTATCAAAATTAAAGCTTTGTGAGTTAGCTTTCCAACGCAATTTGTTTCGCCTCATTCCGAGCTAGGATGAAGGATTTATAACCTTTTTCGTAAAACCTCGCCGGCAGAAAAGTGCCATTTCCAGTAAGCCGAAACACTGTTCACCCGCCCCATTAATTTTTCTAAGTGTTGGGACGTTTTTTTATAAAAAGGGGACATATCCATACTTAGTCATTTAACTTCAAAACATCCAAAAACTCTCTCTAAACCCTCTCCAAAATTCCACCAAGATCATCAACCAAATTCAAGGATCCCAAGCTTTAATTCCGATTCAAGATTCAATCTCAAGCAATTCTCCATTCCAATCTTCATCAAGAATTCTCCAAAGTTGAGGTATGTGGGTTGATTGTGGAAACCTTCCTTTCCACAAGTCCAACCATTTATCCTCTATTTTACTTCAAGTTTATGGGTCCTTATGATCATTTATGAACTCTTGAATTATGGAATTATTACTACACATCCTATTATGGTCTATTTTTGTATATTATCATGAAATGGAATGATTATATGATGTTTATGGTTTTCATGCCTCCATGATCAAATTATGAAGGTTGTTATATATGTATATATATATATGTATGTTGTTGGTGGGCTGTTTTATATGGATTTTGAAATTGGTTGGACTTAGTACTCTTGAAACACATGATTTTATTTACATGAACAAGTAGCCCACCATATGTTTGATAAAATGTCATTTATAGAATTCTTATGAAATGGAAGGTCCAATGTATGTCCTATGAGTCGGATGATTATATAAGTATTGAAATGATGATGAAATGGATACATGTATATGATTTTCTCTATATAGTGTGTGAGTCGACCAAGCCTAGCTCGGGGGGTTGTAGGCCCGGGTAACCGTATCAAGGGGTTGGTACCTTGGTTGCCTAGTACGGGGGGTAGTAGGCCCGTATAACCGTATCGAGGGGTTTGTACCTTGGTTGCCTAGTACGGGGGGTAGTAGGCCCGTATAACCATATCGAGGGGTTGGTACCTTGGTCCCTAGCTCGGGGGGTGGTAGGCCCGGGTAACCACATTGAGGGGTTTGTACCTCTTTCGCCTCTCCAAGGGGGTGGTAGGCCTTGGAAATACTATATTGATGGTCACTCACCACACATGTACTACGTCCCACTAAATATGATTTTTATGTAAGCGTCATTATATACATCATTTCATTTATGTGCTATCTATCGGGTATGATTATGCATTTTTCCTATGATGTCTATCTATTATAGCATTGCATTGCATCCCACATACTTAGTACATTCAAACGTACTAACGCATACTCTATGCCTACATGATGTCACCATGTAGGGACCGGAGCACCGCTTGACCATCCTCCTCCGCGTGGCTAATACGATTTCCTATCAAGGTTATTGGTGAGTCCTCCATTCCGGGGACGTTGCTCATGATCTTTTGCTATGTATAAGACTTTTCTTTTTAGTTATGTTTTGACTATGAGGGTGAGCCCGGTAGTTTGTCTTGGCCCCCGCTAAGTACTCATGTTTAGAGGTGGTGTTGGACAAGTTGTGTATTATGCTTGAGCTTGACTCATCTATGGTATTTATGTACCATTTCTTCTTTTTTTCTCTTGCTCCCTTAGTCCCGATTTCCCCCTTTGATTTTGCTTATTGCTTATGGTCATTTTAATTGCTTCCGCGACCAAGGATGTGTAATGATACGCTATGAGGCTTGTTTGGGGTTCCTTCGGGTTCCCCATTCGCCGGTCACGTCTAGGCCCTAGGCTTGGGTCGTGACACAGAGAGGGCTGCGTTTGAAGATAGGAGATTCTATATAATCGCTAAACTTGAATTTTTTGTTAGAAACAATGTCGTAGTCAAAACGAAATAATAGTTCTCTTGTACTGATTCTCATACTCACAATGGAACTTCTGAATCATCATGAATTACAAATATAAAACAACCGCCTTATACAACATTAAAATCAAAGAGCTTCATAAAAACAATAGGGAAAACAAAAGAACAGATTTAATAAGTTGCAATTAAATTAATAGAATTCTGTTGTGAACCAAATTGACCCAGTAAGGGCTTATGGGCTATTAGAGAGTTTTATTTGGGATCCAGGCTCATTTAGCTATTGTTAAAAAGGTCTAGCGATTAGAAAGAACGGTTATGAAAATTATGTCGAAGCCTTGGCTTTCAGTCATCTCTCATCCCCTTTCTCGGTTCTAGTATCTCATCCCCTTCTAGTTACCTTCTTCTATGTTAATCTCTCCTTAGTTAGCATGTTATTACTTTGTTGAGCGTATTATACGTTGTAACTTGTATTAAGTGATAACAATATATATCAGTGTTTGTATTGGAAATCGGGTTTGTTACAAATTCAGAGATCACCATCACAGCTTTGCAAACCGAGACTAATAAAACATGATAATACAAAAAATAGAGTGCTAAAATCTGAAAGGAGATCAATAGAGAAACAACAATACACAGAAAAGGAATCAGATGTAGACCTGTAGAGACAGAAACAGAGGAGGCAACATTTATCGCCCAGATTTTGGAGAAGAACATTCTACATACCTGAATACTGTGATTTAGGACGTAGTATTATGACGGAATAGGTTTCTTGATGTCGCTGCTTTGATAAATAGGTCGCTGGACTTCTAGGTTAGTGATTTTTCCATATTACGCGAGCTTTTATTTGCAAAAGGCGGGAGGTTTTTTAATTAGAATAGGAAAAGGATTTGTGCAGCGGGAGTTTTTAATTTTTAGAATAAAAAATGTTTTCCGGCTATTTTTTTAATTTGCTACTAAAAGTGTACTTATTGCTGGCCATTCTACATTAGTCGTTGATATTTTGCCTCGAGTGAATACATTAGTGGCTATTAGGTTATTGCTGCAAAATAATTGTCGCTAAAGTCTAGTTTTGTAGTAGTGAGGTTATGTATCACACTATCAATGTAATAAATATATACATGATACATTGCATAAAACATGCATAATCTATTGCAGCATTGATGTATTAGAAATTTCATACTACTAACAAAGGCTAATTTAAGAAACAAAATAAACAAGATACATTGAGAATTAGTAACTTTGGTAAAGATGTGCATGAAGATGCATCCTTCTTCGATTCTGACTTATCCAACTCAAGATTCTTCATGAATAGTGGATCTTTTCTTTGTTTAGATCTATTTTCGACAAAATTTTCATTGTTTTACTTTTCAAAATTGGGGAGTGGAAGAAGAAATAGGGGATAAACTTACGAACTAGGAAATCAAACTCTTGCCAACAAACTGAAACTGAGTAATTTTAGTAAAATTGAGTTTTTTTTGTTAGAGGAAATGTTGATTCCAGTGTCTCCTAGGAGGCGCCATCATTGAGTAAACACCCGGTACCCAATTTGGGTTTTTCCATCCAATTGAGGGGTGCGTCCGTACGAGTGACATGTTTGTAGACGGCAGAGGTAAAAATGACTTCATTTTAATGGTAAGGACATAGTCAATTAGTAAACCAAAGTTGAGGGGTATTTCTTACCCTTTTCCCTATTTTATAACAAAGACTATTTTGCGATGCATTTTTCCAAAAAAAAATTGCTGAAGAAAAATTGGGTTACAATTTTTAACGTGAGGGGTTAGCTCATTCAATTTGTATATTCTCTTGTTTTTTTAAAAGAGGGACCATTGTGGGCAATCAATCAATCTATCCATTCCACACTTGAGGAAATTCAATTTCAATTTTAACATGTCTTCTAAAGTAGAAGACAAAAAAAGTTGAGATAAAGTTGATCCATATTTTTTCACTTCTATTTACCAACTAGTATTATTTTTCCTATCTTCTTTCTTCACTAAAAACTAAACAAAAGAATGGGAACTAAGGGCCTTGTTCATGTCTTTCTTGTCTCATTTCCAGGCCAAGGACATGTCAATCCTCTACTTAGACTCGCCAAACGCCTCGCTTCAAAAGGCCTTCTTGTTACTTTCTCAGCACCCGAAATTTGTGGTGTAGAAATGAAGAAAGCCAACCCAAAAATCAGCAATGAACCTACTCCATATGGTAATGGTGTGATAAGATTTGATTTCTTTGAAGATGAATGGGATCCTTCGAAGCCCAATGGCAATGATTTGGAGATGTATATACAACATCTTGAGATACTAGGCAAGAAAATACTCCCAATAATGATCAAGAAATACGCGGAACAGGGCAGCCCTGTTTCGTGTTTGATTAATAATCCTTTTGTCCCTTGGGTTTGTGATGTTGCTGAAAGCCTTGGCATCCCTAGTGCCATGCTTTGGATACAATCTGCTGCTAGCTTTTCAGCTTATTATCATTATAGTCATAATTTAGTTCCATTTCCTAGTGAAACACAACCTCAAATTGATGTTCAATTACCTTGTATGCCTTTGTTAAAGTATGATGAAATTCCTAGTTTTTTGCACCATTCAAGTTCATATACTTTCTTGAAAACAGTCATTTTGGGACAATTCAAGAATATATCCAAACTTACCTTTATACTTATGGAAACATTCCAAGAACTTGAACGTGACGTTGTTAATCACCTCTCCGGAATATTTCCTATCAAAACTGTTGGTCCTCTATTCAAATACCCTAAAGAAGTAGCTCCTAATGATGTCCAAGGTGATTTTATGAAGGTGGAAAATTGCATAGATTGGCTTGATACAAAATCAACATCCTCTGTAGTGTACATATCCTTTGGTAGTGTGGTCATGTTAAAAAATGAACAAGTGGAGGAAATAGCATATGGGTTGTTGAATTCATTGGTGAATTTTTTGTGGGTCATTAGGCCACCTACTAAAGTCCAAAATTTTGATCCAATATTGTTACCTAATGGATTTCTAGAGAAAGTAGGAGATAAGGGGAAAATAGTGCAATGGTGTCCACAAGAACAAGTGTTGTCCCATCCCTCGGTGGCTTGTTTCATGACACACTGTGGATGGAATTCGACTATGGAAGCACTTTCAAGTGGCATGCCCATTTTGGCTTTTCCTCAATGGGGTGACCAAGTCACCGATGCTAAGTACTTAGTCGATGTTTTCAAAACTGGACTTCGATTATGTAGAGGTGTGGCTGAAAATAGAATTATTCCGAGGGGAGAAGTGGAGAAATGTGTAAGGGAGGCTATGAATGGGCCAAAGGCGTCGGAGTTAAAAGAGAACGCGTTGAAATGGAAGAAGAAGGCGGAGGAAGCGGTGGCAGAGGGTGGCTCCTCCGAGAGGAACCTGCAAGCTTTTGTGGACTATGTTAGAAGTGAATGATAGCAACGTAAATCATAGTTTAAAGAATACATAAACAATATACAATTTAATTTGTCTTTTATTTATTGTAACCGCATATTCTTGTCTATTATTCCATTAAATAATTAGAGAACAATGAATCCTTATTAATTAATAATTCTAGTGATTGGATCTCTATGGTGATAAAGAAATAAAGTATTCAAATAAATATCTTTGTCACAACGTATTCATGTTTCATACGTCAGAAGTTAATAACTTTAGATTATCAAAAAATCCGCGTGTCTCATATTGTGGAATTTTTTACCAAACTAAGTCATTATTAAAATCAATTCAAAAAATTCGCGTGTCTCATATGATATTTTTTAACACTTTTAACATAAATTTGTTATTGAAAAAATTAAATGATGGAATTTAAAGTTTTTCTTAAAAAGAAGAGAGAGTTAAGGAAATTATATATATATATATATATATATATATATATATATATATATATATATACATAAAATTCCTAATTTTACTATAATTTGATCATTTTTAATTATTTTTTTTTATAATACCTCTATTTATAGGATTACAATATCAAATATCAAATGATATCATGAACATATCAAATGAAATCATGAACATGATTATTAATATAATTTAGGAATTATGATCATCAAAAGTCATTAAAGTATGATTAAAAAAGATACTTAAATTTTTATATTAAAAAATTATGAATCAATGAAAGAGTAGTAATTGATACATTCATTTTTGTACAATAATAAAAAATAAATAAAAAGAAAAAATGTCGAAAAAAAGATAAATAAGATTCTTGGTCAAAGAGATGTGCTACACCACTTTTCTTTTATCTAGATAATTCTTACTAAAAATATGAAGACTTCAAAGTTCCATATCAATAAACATTTTTTTTTTTTATAAATTATACAATATTTTAAAAATTATGAATTAACTTTACATTCTCATGTTTTATCATAATAGTTATTAAAAGTTGATTTACATGACTACAAAATTATATATACATGTTTTATTGAGTAGCATATATGTATGTGTTGACTTTCTTTTTCAGCTTCTATCTTCAAAAATATCCTGACATAAAAACAAAAGTTAACCTTACAACAACAACAACAAAATATAAAAAAGAAGTTAACTAATCAAATAAAAACTTTAAAGAATTTTTTATTATGAGTTAAAGATAAAGGAAGGATCTTGTTGTCAACATAACATAACCTAATGCTCTAAAAACTACAAAAAGAAGAAAAAAAATTCTTTATAAACTACAAAGAGAAGCAAAGAGAAAAAATCAAACATTTTTTCTAAAAAAATTGTGATTCATATTATCATGAATTCAAAAATAATAATATTGAATTTATATTTGCAACAGAAAAAAAGTGACAAATATATTAGGCACATGAAATAGTTTTACCTTGTAAAATTGAACTGCACAAAAATGTCTAACAATATTCATTATAGATCTATCTCCTGCAAAATCAGATCAAAGAAGACAAAAAATTAACCAACAAAAGAGATAAAAGATGAAGAATAAGGAAAAATGTAAAAAAAATAATCATCACATATGTCTCAAAATAGGTTTTTATAAGTGTGATTTTAAGATGTCATAAATTTTTATATTAAATTATTTGAGGGTTATGCATATGAAAGGTTAGGAGTTATGAACATTATTAATATTTATTAAGAGTAAAATTTATGTAATTGAAGAGGTATGAAAATAAAATAATTGAAAGAAAAAAAGAAAAATGCCAAAAAAACACAAAAAAAAAAGATAAATAAGAATCAAGCCCTCAGAGAGTGCCACGTCATTATTTTCATATCCAGCTTTATTATATTATATAGATTCGCGTATCTCATATTGTGTGCGCATTAATGGATGAAATGATGGTAATCTCATAAAGTAAAGTCCGAAGAAGATAAAGAGTATATATAGATCTTATCACTATCTTAGAGGTAGAGAATTGTTTCGATAGACCCTTGACTCAAACAAAAAAAAAACAGTCCAAACTCCAAAATAATATAGAGAAAGAAATAACAAAAATGAAGACAATCATGACAAAATACTACAGACAACCTGACAAATCATTCTAAACAATAGTCATAACAAGATACAACAATAACCAAAGTGTAAAAAAAATTCACAAATAGTAAGCAAACTCAAAGGATAAGAAAAAGTACAAGAGTAATAATACAACTAATAGTAAAGAGGAATAAGAGAGACAACAATCAACTAACTAACTAACCTCCTACTCAAATATGTGTCCTCCATAACCTCATATCTAAGGTTATGTCGTCGGTAAGCTGAAGTTGCATCATCTGATGTCTAATCACCTATCTCCAATACTTCTTCAGTCTACCTCTACCTGAAACTATAGGTAATCTCTCAGACCTCCACATTGGGGCATTCGTGCATCTCCTTTGCACATGTCTGAATCATCTCAATCTCGATTCCTGCATCTTATCCTCTATGGAGCCACCCCTACTTTGGCTTCATTTTTGATCTTGTCTCTCCTCATTTGCCCACACATCCATCTCAGCATCCTCACTCCGCAACTATCATCTTCTTCTGAACGCAGGAGTTCTTGACTAGACAACACTCTTCTGTATATAATACAATTGATCTATCTATCGCTTTATAAAACTTATTGTCTCTTTAAGTTTTGGTGACAACTTAATATATTTTATATATGTATTGATAATTAAATTTTTTTACACTATCACTGTAGTTTAACTACTATGCCAAGGTAATTAGTTAACATATTTACGGAGATCTACATGTAATAGTGTAAAAGGTTTTTTAAACTACCGTAAGCTTAAGGTTTATTAATTGGTACTTACTTCTTGGCTGCTTCGAGAAAGAAATGGACTTTATGGTGCAAATCATGTTGTAGTGAAAACTACAGCAACGTGTACAAATTGAAGTTAACTAACAACATCATGATGATTTAAACAACTCTATAAATTAATTAACAAATCCTAGCTCCATCAAAAGAGTACCTTCTTTCATTATAAAGTTAATACTTTTTTTTTTACGATATAAAGTTACTTTTTTTTTATTGTGATGAAAAAGCTAAACACTTAAAATATTTTCTATTTCAACCCTCTTTTACTGCATTATCCTCACTACAATATTTTCCAACTCTTCTCATTTTTTTCCATACCCTTCACAAAGGAAAATGTATCATAAAAGAATATCTTTCATAAATAAATGTCAAACATGTTATAAATTCATTGAATTAGTGGACTATCCATATTCTCAATACATGAACTACTTATATTCATGTATGTGTATTTCCAAGGTTCGATGAACCATTTTAATAAGAATGTATTAATTTATTATGACACTTAATATGGTGACTTTTGGAGTGATTTCTCTACCTATAAATAGGGTTGTTCATTCACCATTGTAAGACACACTTGAAGACATTTGAATAAGATGATCTTTACATTATACTTCTCATACATCTTGTCTATATTATTTATAGTACATTGCTTATATTTTACAACATGTTATCAGCACGAGACTCTAGCTAACTGGGATTGAGTTTTAGTTGCTTTAGCTCATATTTTACTCAGTTCATGTTCTGGTTGATCTCCTTATGAGAATCAAAAAGGAAAATGGTAACTATTGCAATCAAGAATATTATATGCATAAATTAGGTATGTATTTCTAGAATCTTTTTATGATTTAAAAATAAATTTCATTTGGTACTTTGCAATACAATAGTGTTCGGTCACCAACTTTGACTGTAAATCAAAGGTATATACTACTACTAGTTGAATATTCTCTGCTCCTCGAAATTCTTTAAATAGAAGAAAATATAAATTTTTGGTAGCATCAGTTTAAGTACTGTTTTGACTACACTAATTTTGAGGGTAAATTTAATATTTTTTGTGTTACAATTGTTTATATTGTCGAAGGCATTAGTTGACAGAAGTAATTATATTTTATGAATTTTAAGTTGGGGGAAGTTGCATGAAGAGTTGGGCACTGAACTCACTCTCAACACAACTTTTCATCCATTACTTTGGAGGACATTGGGATAAATCCCTACCTTTGTATGAGTTCTCCTACAACAATAGCTATCACTTCGGCATTGACATGGCATCGTTCGATGCACTTTATGGGAGGGTTGTAGATCGCCCATATGATGGTTTGAGGCTGGATATGTGAAACCTTTGGAGGTGGATTTTGTAAAGGATGCTCAGTTTAAGGTGAGAAGTATCCAAGCTAATTAAGCTTCTAGCCACTCGGGGATGAGTGATGGGTAAATTTGTATTTATTGTAACGACTTGTTCCCATCATTATGGATAAGCCAATGGGGAAGTAATTTGAGCCAGAAAACTTCTAAGTAGTAACTTGAAAATTTCCAACCTAGGCCAAACTTGGACAAAATCTGAGCCAGGTGATGTATAGGATAATCCGGTTATGGATGGGGGATGTGTTTATGAATTTGATCATTTGAGTGGATAACCAAGATGATAAGAAGCCTGTATGGCTTTACGAATCAAATTTGGGCGGGCAAAACTCCCGTTATTAATCTTAGTGTTAAAGGGTAGTTTTAGAACATCAAGGTTTGAGGGCGTGTTGTAAAATAGGGACTTGGAACACAAATTATGAGTGTTTGTCTCCATGCAACCACCCACGACAAGATTATTCCTACCATGGTGAGCCAGTCGTGAGTAAAAACGAAAAAAGTCTCAAAAACGTTATTTTTCTATAAACTTCGTTCTTCAAGAGCAAAAGAGCGACCTAGGACTATTTCTTCTTTTTTTCCCCACTAATTCTTATGCTAAATGTAAGTCAATTACTCCCCTAATTCGTAAATTGATTCTTAGAACTTAGAATACTTGTTATTTATCCTTGGGGGAGGGTTTTGGCTTGAATTTAATGGTGGAAAAAAGCCGTAGTTGGGTGTTAGGATCATGGAATTGGCCAAGGGTTAGTATTTGGACATAATCTTGGTAAACTAGGCCATTATTATTGATCCTTTGCATCAATTACTTGTTTTAGACTAAGAACAAGCTGAGAGACTCTAGGAAGGGAAAGCTCAAGTTTCTTAAGAGTGTTCATGCTTGGTTCCGAGATAGGTGATGGTTTGATTTCACGTCTGTGTTATATATGTTTGCTAACTCCTCCATTATATTCATGCATGTATGTGAATAGGGGAAGATGAAATGAATCTAATGAAATGACTATTTATGATTCCGTAGCATGCAATGAACCTGTTACCTGAATGTACGATACAAGTGTGTAAATCATTCATTGTGGTGCTGATTGTGTTTGTGATTGTGGTTGATTGGATCGGGTGTCACGTTCCGACACACAAACCGTTTAAGTGTGGGTTCCATTTGTCACGACCTAAATTCATAAGTCGTGATGGCACTTTTGTTCCCAATCAATAGGTAAGGAAACATATTTTACCAATTTTAACTAACTAATGAGGTAAAAGGTATACAACGAGTAAAATATCTCCAACACTAAGTCCTTGATAAATACGAAATGTGGAAAACTAAAATACCACCAAAGAATTGGTGTCATAAGTACAAGAGTTTCTAAATATGGTGCAAGTCTGAAACTAAAATGACAAATCCAAACATAAGGGATATCCTGTCTGAATACTAAAATAGCATAATAAATAAAAGATAGAGGGAGGTGTGGGCCACAGAACAGCCAAGCAGCTCACCATAACTCCAAGATACTCCAAGCACAGACTAAAAAAACTTCACGAGATATGCTCGTACTCAGATTCAAATCTGCACCACAGAAGAGTGCAACAAGTGTAGTATGAGTACGAAACCACGTGTACCCAGTATATATTATAGACCGATAATGAAGAAGTAGTGACCAGAGTTTATATAAGAAAAATCAGTTCCTTACTTATACAAGTCTATATTACACTTACCAGTCAAGTTTCATCAAATAGAGGTAATCAAATATCAAGTACTTTCCAACCACCAATAAAACACATAATCATCAAGAATGAAGGATGTCATGAGATGCAATGCAATATGACACCATGAAATGATATGCCTCAGAATACCAAGTACTCTCTCAACCGTATATGCATGATACTCCTCGGAAATACATCGAGAGTTCATAACCCATGGGGGACTCGCGAGGTCCATCTACCGACACAGACGATCTCCACGTGTCTGTGCGGATGATCTCATTGCACTATCATATAATTAAATAATTTCTGCACGGACGATCTCCATGTGCCCAAATTATAATCTTAATATCTCACCATCCCCAACACGGACGATCTCCATGTGCCCAACTTATACTCAGTCTCATGTCAATGCATGTGCACAATATGATTTCAAATAAAGGGGATGATAATGCATCTCAATCAATCAAAGATCAACATATTATATAACCACTTCAACTATCACATTTATACGGGTTCAATAAAGTAACACAATCACACAAAAAAATTCAACTTATTAATATATCAACTAATGCCCATATGCTTTGGCATTCTCGTATTTCAATCCGCATTCTATAGTAATAAACTTTCCCTTTATAACACCGGTACTCGTACCAATGCCCGTCACACCATTGGTACGAGACCCCCAACTTTCAACCTTACCCATTTTCTATTCCATTTTTAATCTTTAATTAGAAAATGTCCTCAACGAAGTCTAAAATTCTTAACATACCTTGAGTGCCGAACACGTGCCACGAATCCTCAAGATTTTTCCTTCCCTTTTCGCAAAGCTTCAGAAATGTTCTCAATCTACCAATTATGCAATATTCGTAAGTTAGCGAGTTCATAGGCACTACCCATATTGTTATATGTCTATCATAGACCCAAAAACTCACTCATATCTCTAATCGAGCTCCTAAAATTTATATGTCAAGAATCATATTTGTTCAATTTCAAGCCTAGGGTAAATCCTTAATTTCTCAAAAAACCATAAATCTAATGGTGTTTATATAACCCAATACACCTAATATTTAATTATCTATCTCAATATGTTAAACTTAAATCTTAATTTGATAATCATATATTATTAAAAGTGGGAAGCTCTTGTCTTCAAAGTTGATTTACCATTTTACCCTTGTACTAAATCATTTTTTATAAAGCTCTTGTCTTCAAAGTTGATTTACCATTTTATCCTTATACTAAATCATTTTTTATAAACTAATTTTTATTTACACCATAATTAAAATAAATCTTCAATAAAATGAATTGAACGGATGATTTGAAAGTGGAGTAATAATACTTTAATTATCACACTTATTTCAATGATTTAATAGGGATTGATGACAATTATCTTTCTTTCCCTGTTTATTTTTTGGTTTATTCATTTTATATTAAAATTTTGATCATTATCATATTATATCAAGTAGAAACTTTCCAAATGAAAAATTGAATTACCAAATCGCCTATTAAAAGTTAAACATCATTTTAACCTTCAAGCAACTATTATTTCAAAAAAGTTTATAATATAAAAATATAAATACACACATTTCATACAATAAAAATAAAATGTTTGCATTTAATAATTATAATAACCATAACTTTATACGAAACGTTGGTGGTTCAATTATTTAATTGTTACGTTAACCAATGGCCAACCTTTCATTGCTACAGTAAGTAAGTACAAAGAAGTTGAAAAGTTGAATTGAATATTAATTAGTAAATAAATGAAATGAAATTTCAAAGGACTGGGAAAAACATTATATAAAGGCTAAATGAGTTTACTAATTTCCCATCTCCTCTTTGTAACTTTTAAGATTGAATGCAAATTATTTTATCTTCGATTTCATTGTTTTTTATGCCTTCTAATAGTTTGCATAAAAGAAGAGATGAGAAGTATATATGTAAGATTGTTGATGCCAAATTAGACTAGATGTCATATTCAATTTTTACTACTCTTGAATTATCAGCTATAATATTATCTTCTGAGAAATCATGGTCAAAATCACCATCTCTCCTCCTTTTCAACTATCAATATTACATTGTTTTTTGTGATAATTAATCTTGGATCGTGGAGGGCTTGATTTCTCCGGAAGGTTGATCATAGTTGACATAAATGAATTCATTGTTATAGTATAATTTGATTACAATTCTTTATGATACAAAGCTTTCTACAAATAAGTTATTTCATCTAAAGAAATGGTGTTATTTGAACGCGTTGATTGATGCTAGCTCCTCATCATGTTGATTACTGGCTATAACCTTTTATCATCATTAATCCTTTTTGTGTATGCATGACATATTTGGTTAATTAGAATTACAATACTTTGATTTCACATGTATTGGAATTTCATTTGCTTGGGTGCTTTTGTTTCCAGGCACAATTGTTAAGATTATAACAATTAGTTTTAAATTCTTAATAAGCATATATTATTTGCGTGTTGTAAATTTTAACAAGAAGTTTTAAATATTTTAAATATCATATCTAAGTTTTTTGTTTAAATATTTCAGATTCATTGTTTTGCTATTTGGTATGAGCATCACAATTCATTAGTCAAATATTATGTCATGAAATTTAATACTTAATGTTATTAGGTGCAAATATTTAATACTAATACTTCTTTATAAACAAAATATTTGCACCTAATAACATTAAAATGTAACTCATTTTTTACATTTTGCTTATCTAACTAAATATAGTTATTCAATTTTTTAGTTCTGATAGTAATTAATCATTTATCGCTCAACGAAGAAGTCATTCAAATTGGATGAGTGTTACGTTCATCAATTTTAGTTTGTACCTTTTTTTCGTTATTGACTACACTATGGTTTTAATATAACTTTTATCGTGTATACTACTTGTTTGAAACATGTGCAACGCAGTGTTCAGAAACTAGTTAATTTAAAAGGGTCAACGTAAAACCTAATCTATGAACAAGCAGAGTGCACTGCAAACATGACCCTTGGCAAACCATTCTATAAAATGCCTAATCTCAAAAAAATTACATATCAAATGCCAATCATTGGCATGATTGCCTAATGATTGGCACATAATCTTGTTTCCCCCACCATTGACTAATACCTCATTCCTTTAAAATAAAAGTGCACCAAATTGTCATCCCAATTCCTTTCCAAAAACAACTGAATAATTAATGATAACGGCATATGCCTTCAAAAATAACAAAAATGATTAATGACAGCTGCCTACATCTATACAACCAAATATACAAATCCTTAGTTCTTAATTTCGATCCAGACGAGAAGATTACTACTACTTCCTGCACACTTGTTTTAATTCCCTTGCACCAAAATATTTTATAACAATTAATGATACTTCTCAAATCAATAATTTCACTTCCCGATGAGAATGATAGCAACCATTACCTAGAGCACGTTGTTCCTCTTCGTTCTATGTTCGTCCGCCGTACATGTCAGTTACTGCACCTTTATTTTCTTTTTAAAAATAAATCCCACTAATTTATTTAACTTATATGGGTCAGATGGAAAAAGAGTATTAATTAAATTGTGGATTTTGGCCCACTCTCTATTCAACTATAATACTCATTAACAAAAAATCATCGACCAGATACTCGTAGTTACCGAATAGTTTAAAATACCCTTTTAAATTTTTTGGGAAGAGCCAAAATAGTCTTAGTTCTCAAAACGACCTAGAGGGTCGTTACATCATCTACCACTTAAACAAACGTTCGTCTCGAATGGTAAAAGAATAGAACACACCTGAATGCTCAAAAAGCTGAGGATATCTACTACTCATGTCTGACTCGGTCTCCCATGTAGCCTCATCCACTGGACGATGCTTCCATTGAACCTTTATTGAAGCAATCTCTTTCGACCTCAACTTTTGAATTTGCCTATCCAAAATGGTTACCGGCTCCTCCTCAAAAGTCAAATTCTGATCAAGTAACACCGAATCCCATTGAATCACATGAGCACCACCCTGGTGATACTTTTTCAACATCGAACTATGAAATACGGGATGAACACCCGACAAACCAGGCGGCAAAGCCAACTGATACGCCATTTCACCAATACGCTCCACAATCTCGAAAGGACCAATATACCTTGGGCTCAACCTGCCCTTCCTTCCAAATCTCATCACACCCTTCATGGGTGAAACCTTCAATAGAAACCACTTTCCCACCATGAACTCCAAATCACGAACCTTCCGATCTGCATAACTTTTTTGCCTACTCTGAGCCATGAGAAGTCTATCTTGGATCAACTTAACCTTGTCCAAGGACTCCCTCAGCTAATCTGTACCCCACGGTCTAACCTCAAATGCATCAAACCAACTGATTGAAGATTGACATCTCCTACCATACAAAGCCTCAAATGGTGCCATCTCAATACTCGAACGGTAACTATTATTGTAAGCAAACTCCACTAATGGTAAGAACTTATCCCAGTGACCACCAAAGTCGATCACACATGCCCGCAACATGTCCTCAAGAACCTGAATAGTCCGTTCAGATTGACCGTTCATTTGAGGGTGAAAGGCTGTACTAAGATCCACCTGAGTCCCCAACTCCTTCTGCATAGACCGCCAGAAATGAGATGTAAATTGTGTGCCACGATCTGAAATAATAGAAATAGGGACCCCATACAAGCGAACTATCTCTCGAATATAGATCTTGGCTAATTTCTCTGAATTATAGGTAGTCTGAACTGGTACAAAGTGTCCAGACTTGGTCAGTCGATCCACGATGACTCATATAGCATCAAACTTACCCAAGGTACGAGGCAAACCTACCACAAAGTCCATAGCAATGCGCTCCCACTTCCACTCAGGTATGGGCATCCTCTGGGTTACACCTCCAGGCTTTTGGTGTTCATACTTCACTTGCTGACAATTTAAACACCGAGATACAAAATCTACTATATCATTTTTTCATATGACACCACCAATAATGCTGCTTCAAGTCACAATACATCTTAGTAGCCCCTGGATGGATAGAGTACCTCGAACTATGTGCCTCCTCCATGATCAGTCTAGTAAACTCACCTGTCCGACGAACACAAATACGACCTTTTATCCTCACTATCAAGAATTGCATCCTTGGTTTCTCCCTTTGACACCTTGTCTCTAGTCTTACATAAATCACCATCATCAAACTGTTGAGCCCGAATTTGCTCCAACAAGGATGACCTAGCCTCCATATATGCCAACACCTTACCATATTCTGAAATATCAAGCCTCACAAAGCTATTGCCCAAGGATTGGACATCCTTAGCTAAAGGACGCTTGCCAGCCTGTAACAAGGCTAGACTACCCATACTTACCGCCTTTCGCCTCAAGGCATCTGCTACCGCATTTGCCTTACCCGGATGATAAAGAATAGTCATGTCGTAATCTTTGAGCAACTCCAACCACCTCCGCTGCCTCAAATTGAGATCCCTCTGATTGAATATATATATATATATATATATATATATATATATATATATATATATTGGAGACTACGATGATCCGTGAACACCTCACAATGCACACCATAAAGATAATGCCTCCAAATTTTCAATGCAAACACAACAACCGCTGAACACCTCACAATGCACACCATAAAGATAATGCCACCAAATTTTTAATGCAAACACAACAGCCGCCAACTCCAAATCATGAATAGGATAGTTCTTCTCATGAACCTTCAACTGCCTCGAAGCATAAGTTATCACCTTCCCCTTCTGCATAAATACGAAACCAAGACCGATTCGAGAAGCATCATAATATACAACAAAACCCTCTCCCTCTACGATAGGGTCAAAATCAGAGCAGTAGTCAATAAAGTCTTGAGCTTTTGAAAACTCATCTCACTCTCATCAAACCACTGTAAAACCACTTCTTTCTGGGTCAATCTAGTTAATGGGGATGCAATGGATGAGAACCCCTTTACAAACCGTCGATAATAACTTGCAAGGCGTAAGAAACTCCGAATCTCAGTAACTGAAGTAGGTTTGACCCAATCTCGAACTACCTCAATCTTTTTAGGATCCACCATAATACCTTCTTTAGAAACTACATGTCCCAAGAATGCTATCGAACTAAGCCAAAACTCACACTTTAAAAACTTTGCATAGAGCTTCTTTTCCTTCAGAATCCCAAGCACAATCCTCATATGATCGTGTTCCTCCTTACTACGGGAGTATATCAATATATCATCTATGAAGACAATAACAAAGGAATTTGTTAAGATGTATGCGTCCACTATCAGTCAATGGACCAGGTCTCTTGTAATAAAGCGTAAACAACAAACAGAGGACAACACCAAAAGTTTACGTGGAAACCTCCTTGTTCAAGGGAGTAAAACCATGACCTGTCGCACAAGATTTTCAATTGTTTTCACTAATCTCTTCAAGAAAAAGTGAAACACAGTTACAACCAAAGTGAGAAAAAGCTATTAATCTCACAACTAAGTAATAATCCTATTACTTACTGAGCCTAAGCAGATACCACACTGCTCACTAAGCTATCACCCCTAGACAACTTAGAATTCAACTAAGCAGATACCACACTGCCCACTAAATCAACTAGCTCCTAAATGACTTAGAATTTTACTAAGCAGATACAACATTGCCTACTAAATCAGTTAACTCTAACCGATTTAGACTTTTACAAACCGAACAAAATATCTGAATCCTTTATAGATTAGGAACAAATTTACAATGTAAGCACGAAAGATATAATCCTAAGACAACTAGACAGCCTTCAGCTCCATCAGGTCCTTGTTGCTTTTGAGGATGATACTTCTTTAAAGTAGGTCTTTGCAAGTGTTCTTGAGAATTTTCAAGTTGCAAAAACTTATAAAATGATATTTTTTGATGATGAGAAGTTTTGATGATTTGACAAACTTGGGATCGATCCAGTTACCTGAAAAGTCTTATTGATAGGGGAAACTGGTGAAAGGGGTAACTAGTAAATAAATGTGTTATCATCAAAAATGGGGAAAATGTTATTTTGGAGCTAATGTTAAGTTTTGATAATTTAACAAACTTATGGATCTAACAAAGGACTATATCCTTCTTATCGGGAGTTCGGACTGACGACAGGGCAAATGAATGAATAGACTCAGTGTGAGGAACATTTGTGCGTCATCATCAAAAAAGGGAAAAATGTTATATTCTAGGTGTTTTGATGATCCTCACAAATGTAGGGACCCAGTCCCTGGCATAGTGCTCTCATCTATTTTCATAGGGTACATTTGTAAAGCTGTCATGTTAGGTGGTGGATGAAAAGTGCAGTGTACTACACCAATAGGAAGAGCGGACGAGATTTTCTTTTTTAATGGCTCACAATTGTAGGGACCCGATCCCTGGCAGAGTTCTCTACAACAGATGTATAATGGGATACAGCTGGAAAGCTGTCGCATCAGAGGTTGGTGAGGTCGCCAGTGTACCACACCAATGAGAATGGACGAGGTTGTTTGTCTAGCGGTTAATACATATTTTTGATTGATATTTTCAACATGACAAACAACATATCAAATTCATTCATTAAAAAGAAGAGGAGAGCCAACAAGCCTTTTCAAGAAATCCCAAAGAACATTGCAAAAGACCTGGTCCTTACAAGACTGCGATATGAAAAGGTGACAAGACAGCCGTCAGAAAAGCTGCCACCCCTGATGTGGTAGGTGAGCAACTTTTCTGAACAACAGACTTTTGACCAATAAGGTCATCTCAAGAAGTTTGTGTGTATTTTATATAGTCTCCTCACCAAAACACAAACTTAAGATTTGGCAAACAAAAGCTTGGATTTTCTCTAAAAATTCATAAGCTTGAAAAGAAGGCCATCTTCAAGGAAGAACAATCCTCATGCTCAACAAAAATATCTGATAGAGTGCTGAATCATCTTTGTTGAGTTTGAGTTTTGTGTCTATCATTTTATAAGTTTTTGCAACTCGAAAATTCTCAAGAACACTTGCAAAGACCTACTTTAAAGATGTATCATCTTCAAGAGTAACATGGACCTGATAGATCTGAAGGTTGTCTAATTGTCTTAGGATTATATCTTCCGTGCTTACATTGTAAATCTTTTCCTAATCTATAAAGGATTCAGATATTTTGTTCGGTTTGTAAAAGTCTAAATCGGTTAGAGTTAACTGATTTAGTAGGTAGTGTTGTATCTGCTTAGTAAAATTCTAATCAACTAGCTCCTAGATGACTTAGAATTTTACTAATCAGATACAACACTGCCCACTAAATCAGTTAACTCTAATTGATTTAGACATTTAAAAATTGAAAAAAATATCTGAATCCTTTATAGATTAGGAACAGATTTACAATGTAAGCACGAAAGATATAATCCTAAGACAACTAGACAGCCTTCAGCTCTATCAGGTCCTTCTTGCTCTTGAGGATGATACTTCTTTAAAGTAGGTCTTTGCAAGTGTTCTTGAGAATTTTCAAGTTGCAAAATCTTATAAAATGATAGACACAAAACTCAAACTCAACAAAGATGCATAACACTCTATCAGATCCTTTTATTGAGCATGAGTATTGTTCTTCCTTGAAGATGACCTTCTTTTCAAACTTGTGAATTTTCAGAGAAAATCCAAGTTTTTGTTTGCCAAATCTTAAGTTTGTGTTTTGGTGAGGAGACTATATAAAAAACACACAAACTTCTTGAGACGACCTTATTGGCCAAAAGCCTGCTGTTCAAAAAGGTTGCTCACCTACCACATCAGGGGTGACAACTTTTCTGATGGTTGTCTTGTCACCTTTTCATATCATAGTCTTATAGGGACTAGGTCCCTTGCAATGTTCTTTGGGAGTTCTTGAAAAGGCTTGCTGGCTCTCTTCCTCATTTTAATGAATGAGTTTGATATGTTATTTGCCATGTTGAAAATATCAATCATAAAGACATATTAACCGCTTGACAAACAACCTCGTCCATTCTGATTGGTACACTGACGACCTCACCAACCTATGACGCGACAACTTTCCAATTGTATCCCATTATACATATGATGGAGAGAACTATGCTAGGGACCGGGTCCCAACAATTGTTAGCCACTGAAACAAAAAATCTCGTCCGCTCTTCATATTGGCGCAATACACTGCAATTTTCACCCACCATCTAACATGACAACTTTACAATTGTATCCTATGATGAATATAGACGAGAGCACTCTGCCAGGGACTGGGTCCCTGTATTTGTGAGTATCATCAAAATGCCTAGAATATAATAGAATCCAAGTACGGTCTGAA